GATTTCTTTCCTGTTACACTGTTATTCCCAATCTTGCAAAGTCGCGTCGCGTCTCCACTAGATCACTCTACAGCAGAAATGAAAGAAAAGTTTACTGTACCTGCTGGGTCAAGGGTGCGCGGTTATGGGTCTTATTGTTTAATTAGTCATATAGAATTTCTAATTGTTCACAACCGCTTTTTTAAACGACAGAGTTCAGACAGTCACCGTTCTTAAGAATAGTTAAGTTTCTGGACAAAATTCTTAGAACAATTACATAAGCTCAATGTTATAACTGAGGTTTTAGTTTCCGACCGACAGAAAAATAAAGTTATGAAACAGTTATATTGCATGAAATAAAATATGCAGATAACGGAAACTAATATTGCATGTGTTATGAAAATATAAAAACGGGAAACCAGAAGCAGAGAAATCTTCCAGATTATACACCTCGAATCAGAGCGTAAGGTAATTCGTAATTCTCCAAGTTTTAATACTGATTCTACGGCGTTAATGTCAGAAACTATAAACAGTGACTGGATACTAGCACAAGAATTTAAATAGTGGCTCGTTCTCAAATTGTAGGTGGATACTAGCACAAGAATTTAAATAGTGGCTCGTTCTCAAATTGTAGGTGGATACTAGCACAATAATTTAAATAGTGACTCGTTCTCAAATTGTAGGTAGATACTAGTGCAAGAATTTAAATAGTGACTGGTTGTCAAATAGTAGCCGCGTACTAATACACTAATTTTAAACAGAAGAACGTCTACTACTAGAACGTGTGCAACAGCGTGACGGCTTACATATGTATCACAGCAAACTGCAGCCAATCAAATTGAGATGTAAGTGTGACGATGCCAAGACTAACATTTCGACCGGAAGTGAAGCTAATTTTAAGAGGACTATATAGTCAGCGTAGATCACTGTTGGGATCCACCTGGAAGGTCGGAACGCATTGTTCACTTCAGATAACTGGTACACACGATTCACTAGCTGTCTACATGGATATCAGCCGGTGGACGAAAAGTGCTACAGTTCTTTGGGTTTCCTGAGATAAGTACAGGGTGCTTCAGTTAGTATAGTGACTTATCACAAACTGGATGACCGCTGTTCGATTCACAGCAGACGCATTATATTATAGCTGACTTCTCCAGATAACCTCTGCAGTCAACTGTGGTCTCTTTCATGGGGGTAAAGTGCCCTGGATATAAAACTGACCATTTACATCCAACAAAGGGCCGAGGTTAATAACAAATAGATATTAATTATTTATTTATGATTTATTTAACGACGTTCAATAGCTCAATCTGAGGAGTTACGTAATTAGTACTGTTCAAGAAATATTGTTTGGAGCATGCAATCGAGGAGGACGAGATGGGTGGGACATGTAACGCGCATGGGTAATATGATAAATGGGTACATTTTGGTTTGGAAGCCAAGAGGAGAGAGAAAATTCGGAAGACCTAGGAAATATGATATTCAAAAGAAACTTCTGGAAATCTGGTTGGAGGGAGTGGATTGGATTCATGTTGATCAAGGAAAGCAGTGGACTTTTGCCAGACCCAAGAGTACTTCGCTAAGTCACACGAAACATATATTATGCTTTTTTCCATAATGTGGTCGGCATTTTCATCGTCTTGCGTAGATCCGTTCTTCGTAACAAATAAAAACTGAAAAAAAGCTGCTTTTTCTTGCAAATTCTGTTGTAGTTAGGGCTGCGTTCTGTATTAATTACTCAAGACGGACACTCACTGCTTCTTCAGAGTTAATTATTAAGCAGCTCAGGCTATATAACACTGAAATAATGCGGGAAGCTATAGTGTCACTATCCTTTATGTCTT